ATATGTTCTGCCTCTGTACGACTGTAGACTAGAATGCCATCGAAGAAGACAAACGAATTTTCTGAGGTAATGCTAAAAAGCTTGATTCATGAGAGTTTAAAATGTGGTCGGAACATTGGTGAGGCTAAATAACATTATCAAAAACTTGTAATGTTTTTCTTGTGCCTTGAATGCTGTCTTGTTCACATTAATTGGATTCATCTTGATCTGGTGGCATCCCAACTTAATATCAATTTTTGATAAAATGACTGCCTCATAAAGTTCATCTAGCAACTCATCAATCATAGGGATAGCGAACTTAACCATTATAATTTCCTTTTGTTCAATGCCTGGTAGTCCACACCAAATTGTGAGCAACTTTTTTTTTCTTTACCAGTAGGATTGGACTCGAAAAAAATTGCTCACACTAGCTGTGATAATTTCATTTTTGAGTAACTCTCATATCAACTTCTCTATTTCATCATTTTTAATCTGAAGATACCAGTGTGGTTTGACACTGATAGGAGGGGCACTCTCCTTTAAGATAATACCGTGCTCATGCTCTCTCGGTGGGTAATCCGTTCGACTGCTGAAAAATTTCGGGAAACAGTTGTAGGAGCTACCGAACACCGTTGGAGAACTCTTATGACTTGGGACCCCGAATCTCCTCTATACTTTGCAACTCCACCAAATAGTTTAACCCTACTCGCCGTATCATTTTTACCATAATCATAAGTGAGACCATGGTTCTGCATTGGCTAGCATCTCCTCTCAGCATCATCTTCCTACCCTCCACCTTGAACTCTTTCATCTGAGATTTCCAGTCCATCTTTGTCCCGTCAAGCTTCTGTAGTCACTCATCCCCAAAGGTGCATTAGTGTTGCCCTAGTCCAAGAGAAGGAAGTCCTCCACCACTTGTAGACCATGTAGTGTTGCGCCATGTAGTATTAGAACTAATCCCTTTCAAATTTCCTAACTTTTCTCCACTTTCCTGCCCCCATCATAGCTCTAAAACTCTCCGTTTCTACCAACCCCATCTCTAGCTGATCTACGACCCGATTTGATATGAAATTATTTGTGGCCCTGCTATTAGCCAACACCACAAGCAGCTGCTCCCTAATCCGTTCCCACTTTCATAGTGTGATTCAGAGTAAATCCCACCAATGAATTGAGGCATACCTTCTCTTCATAAAAGTGTAAATGCTCCCCTTCCTCTAACGTGTCTTCCTTCAACTCCTCACTATTCGTCTCTTCCCCCTCAGGAACTAAAAGAACTTGAAGCGCTCTCCCTTACAACGGTGGCATGGGTGTTCTTCTTGTCATATTGAAAACGTAATCCTTTCGCTCTCTTTTCTTGCATTTCTGCCTCAGTGAGGCGCTTGAAATTGCCCCTGGAATGGGTCCCCCTATTTCTCTCCTTTGGAGCTTCTTTTTGAAACGATATCGTCTGGGTCCTCAGTATCATTGTCGTTGAGGCACTCTTGTAAAATCCTCTTGTGGTGCCGTTGTTGTTGGTATTCTTTATATGTTTCTTGTCTTCCACCATCTGGACTAGCTCCATCATCTTCCTCATTCCTTGCGATCTTAATGGTTGGAGGGCTGCTCGAACGTGCGATCTTAATGGTCGGAGGGCTGCTCGAACGTTAGTTCTAGGCCTTGCTCTCCATTATTGTTGTAAAAATACACCTCAGCCACTCCCGAAAATACCTCGAACCTCTCCTTGTATTTTGTGACCGTTATCTCCTAAGTTAAAGCATAAAATAGCTCATATAGGTATCTTTTCCGAATAACTTGGAAACATTCCAACTTCTCCCATGAACAGATCGGTTACCTCGCCTCCATCCATTGAAATTATGCTGCGGCTTTTCCCTTTAAACATAATTCTGTTGACATGAGCTTCTCTTCCTCAATTAACCCATTTACTGCAAAGTATCACTCCACCTGATACACCCACCCATGTGTGACTTCCTCTTTGAAGATTGGCATCTTCAGTTTCCTCTCCCTTGCATCGCCATCCCAACTTTCCTCACTTCGAAGTTTCCTCCCATGTGTTTAGGGTGAAACTCTCTTATTCGGTCATAGCCATACCCCACTCCTGTTTCTTTCTTTCCTTCTCCGTGCTCCTCATACCCCTTGAATAACCCCTCTAAATTTCGGCTCACCCCTCTCCATCAGAAGTTTCTACTCCCATCCTTTTTGGAGTCCTAGGGGAAGCTTCTGATGGTAGAAGCTTTCTTCTTCATGGTCGTCTTGTTTGATCTCTTTTCCTTTCCATTTGGCCAAGAACTCCCTGATTAACTCCCGGTTAGGGTTTGTAATTCTTGTCATCAGCGGGATCTTGGATTACATCTCAATGAGCCTCTTTTATCATCTCTTTAAGGCTTGAATTAATTCTCCATTCGATTCTCCATGGAAGCAAACCTCTCAAGGGGACCTCCATTTAGTTTTCCTTGGAAGAAAACCTATCCTCTATGGTAGCGAACATTTTTTCCATCCCCGATCTTATTTGTCCAACTTTTTTTTCCAATGCATCCACTTTCTTTGTTGTCATTCCTCCAAGTTCTGGCTTTGATACCAATTTGTTGCGAACCAAAGTTAAATCAACGAGCATTTTGCAATAGATATGTGGGAAAGCCCAATACAGAGCATATTTGATTAATATCAAAGCATACAACGAGATACAAGGGATGATCTAAAATTTGAGAGGTAGATCATTTCTCTGCCAAACCTTGACACCATCAAGAATACAAAACAAAAAACAAAAAAATTGCAGTCAATCAAAACATAAAATAAGCCACTACCAATTAGAAAAAAATGAATTAAAAAAAATATAAAATAAGTCATGTCTAATTAGAAATAATAATTACTCTTCGAAATCCATTCAACTTTCCCCCCAATACTCTCTTTATTTCCCTGTTTTTTTATGTGATTAGCTGTTGTGTGGGACCCACTCAAAAGTTGGAACTGTTTCCTAGGGATTCTGTCTCGCTAGGTTGGGCTGGCTGGTCTAGCTGGGTCTGACCGGTCCTGACCGGCCTTCTTTGGACCGGCGGCTCGTCTGGAGGCTCGGCTCTCCCATGTGCAGTTGCAAGCATATCAAAATCTTTGTATAATCTTCAAATATGCTAGAATCTTTTTGATGATGAACTAGAAAATTGATTATACAATTCGTATCCATATTCATCAAATGGTAATTCTTAATTTTCGTTAAGTTTATGTTTCTTGTTGATTTTATTTTAGTTGAAATGTTTGCTGAAAGAATTAAATATGTTATTGCTAATTTTTTTCTTACTATAGATTTTAGAAATTAAATATTTGTTAATGCTAAAATTATTTCTTCCAAATTATTGATCCTCTTTGAAAATTTTCCAAGTTTGTGAGTTCCATCAAACGTAAAGTATAGAACTGTAAACCACATTATCGTTATAATTTTATTGGATAAAATCATAATCTATCCGATTTCATTTAAATTGTCTTGTTAGTTGAATGGTTATATTGGTCTAATTTATACCTGTTACATTTATTTGACAATATGCATTTTTAAGCTATGCTACTAATTTGATTTCAGGGTACTTTAAGGCAATGCTCTTAAAAGCGTGCTTGCGGAGCATAACAAATCAGCGTGTTTCGAAGCGCTGAAGTTAATTTGTAATTTTTAAGTTTTTAATTATTACAACATACAATTAGAAATTGTTTGAAATTTTTATTTTAATAAATACAAGAATTATAACTTAAATGATAATTTAATATGCTTGGATAACTTTGAAGAAAACTCCGAGAAATTAGAACCATGTGAGAGCAATGAGCTGTCACGATTTAGCAAAAATCAAGGACACCTGAAAATTAATGACAAGATATTTAGAGAAGTTAGAAGAGGAAATAATTCACCCAGTAAAAAAAAAAAAAATTCAAGTCTCACATTAGTACAAGTTGTTTTTATTCAAGAAATGGATGCACTTGTATCGCATTCAATGGTATAAGACATTTTGCTTGCGCACTAAGATTAAAACTTGAAAAAAAAATTATTGAATCAAAGTTATTGAGTTTTATGCCTTCGTCGTATGCATTTAGCATGCGGATTTTAAAATTCTCTGGAATGCAGTAGTAATAAATTGACTGCAATAGGAAAAACTGCTAGTCCCATAAACGTTAATCTGTAACAAAGGAAGCCACCACCTTTCTGTGGATAGCAACAGTATGGCAAGGATGCAGCAACACTTCACCCAAAATCCACATTACTGGGAACTGATTATAACTCCAAAGCAAGGAAATTTGAATTGTAATTTTGAACTTGAGAATAACCACAGCCATAATGACATGAATTTAGACCAAACCATATAAACCTGCCTCATATGAGGAATCAACCAGAGATAATTTAAATCTCTCATAAATATTCAGCTTCTCCATCTTCTAAAATAGAAATTGAAAGCTACAAAGTAAAATAAAATGAACTTGTGAGAAAAATAATGTTAGATCATTACTTGATGGAATGCTTTTGACGAAATTAAACAATGAATTGTATCACAAACTTTAATTACTCCACATCAAAAGAAAATTAGAAGAGGAAAAACATGACGCCCTTCTCCTTTTGTTCTATTCTATCACCACACCATAGTTATGCATCAATGAATGGAGAAGTGGAAGCTTAACCTTGCTTTCATCCAACTTGCATTTCTTTTCAAGAGTTAATTTATCTAAACTAGGCAACTTTTCATGCAAAAAATATACAATATTTATCTAATCTTTTTTTTATAGTGTTGCATTAGTAGCAACTTGGCATGTAAATAACAATTGACATTTCTTACTCGATTTGGTTTTAACTTCTATTTAATCATTTTTAAATGTAAGGACTTTTTCAATGATTGCAATCAAGAAAATACTAAATCTTACCTCACAATCCTTTTGTAGATATATTATTTTGAAATTATACTTCTACCAGCTGTTGAGATTCGATTATTTTTTTTTCAGGTTTCAGCTACTAAGCTGCAATTTCATAATTTTTTTTTTCTTTTCGCTTGCAGGTAAAATATTGTGATACCCTTAGGCGTTTCAGTGTTTACGTCCATCGACAGCTCATGATCATTGATTATGACATGGATAAACTCAGAACAAAAATATCTAGTCTCTTCAATTTCAGTGATGATGCAGTTCTAGTTCTTACCTATACTGATGAAGATGGTGATGTGGTGGCTTTAGACAATAATGATGAATTGCGTGATGCTGTTTTAAGTCAAAGGCTAAATCCTCTAAGAATAAATGTTCAGCTAAAACCTTATTCAACTGATGGTTCTTATTCAACTTATTCACCTCTAAGAATAAATGTTCAGCTAAAACCTTATTCAACTGATGGTTCTTATTCAAGACCAAACGGTGTGAGAAGTTCTGATAATAATTCTGACATAAGATCTGATTCAGCAAGTCCATACCATAGTAGGTTTCCTGGACTTGCAGTTGCATTGAATTCTACTGTTGAAAAGTCACTGAAGCCTGTTCCTGATCCAATTCGTGGAGTCCTCACAAATATTTCTCGTGATGTGATAAAAACTGCATCAACTGCACCCGTTCTGAGCGAACTTCTGTCGCTCTTATCAAAGATGCAAATTTCCAATATTTCTCAATCTTCTCAGGAACATATTAGCAAACCAGTGGACAAGTCCTGTGGGTCACCTTCTAAGGTAGCAGACCTTAATACCTTTGATGAACCCAAAGTTTCAATTGATCTACAAAATCAATTACCCAAAGTCCCTGAAAATACTCCAAAGATGCCTGAAGTTGGTCAATCGTGCCGTTGTTTGGGATCCATAAACTATGCCACTGTGGATTTTGATCCGAATATGAGCAATGAGCATGGAAAGTCTGGGTTGGATGTTGAGCCTCCCATTCCATTTGATACTCTGGGTGGTGATGCTACCGTGGGGATTTTTGAGCCTTTTGACGAACCAAACCCCTTTGTTGCTTCAACGTTTATGTGTGGAAATGCCAGGACTGAGAGGCGGCCTTCTGAGGATACTAGTCAGCTCCCGTTTGGTTTCACATCTCAGGGTGATGCCATAGGAAACAGGCATGCTGGTTCTTCTACAAATCATTGTTCTAATACGAGACCTTCTGATCTTACTAGTCACTGTCCTTTTAATACAGTTTTCTTTCCCCCTAACAGTGATTCTAGCTGCAAGGGAATTACCTCGGGGAAAAGGCGTGGAGATCCAACTTCATTTTCTTGCCATTCTCCAATGCTACATCCTTACAGGAGGTCATCTATTTGTCACGACCACCCATCACGCACTTTCCACAAGGGTGTCATATGTGATGGTTGTGGAATGCACCCTATTATGGGACCAAGATACAAGTCTACTGTGTGAGGAGCTACTTCTCTTGCATGCACTTTTATTATTTCAATTATATGTCTTCTGATTTTAATAAATTACTTTGGCCACATGGCTGCACAGTTTGATTCACTATGACTTTTCTTACTGCAGGAAAGAAAATTATGATTTATGCAGTACTTGTTTCCGGAATATGGGCAAAGAAACTGAGTATACTAGAATTGATTGGTCTGCCTTCCGTTTTCCTAAGCTAAAGAAAGACCACCACAAGCATGTATGATTTTTAGTTTGCTTCTTCACGATTAACATTATTACACTTATCACCATTTGACGATGTTCTTATTGCATCTTTTCTTCCTATTTCAGAAGCATAGAAATCGACTCTTATCGATGATTGAAGCCCATAATAGGGTGATGGTTCCAAGGTCAAAGCTTGGGAGTTGCTTCATTCGAGATGTAACTGTCTGGGATGGAACTGTGATGCGTCCTTCGTCTCAATTTACAAAAATATGGAGGATGCGCAACAATGGTGCAATTGCCTGGCCATCTGGTACCCAACTTGTGTGGGTTAGAGGACATCACTTGGGAAGCCAAAACTCAGCTGAATTAGAGGTTTTGCACTTTTTTTTTTTTAATTAAACTGATTTCATTTGGCATTATTCAGTTATTTGAAACTTTAGGTTGACATGAATTTCTGTTTATGCTTCTAATAAATGCAAGATTCCCGAGATGGGATTTCCTGTGGATGAGGAACTTGACGTTGCAGTTGATTTTGTAGCACCATTAGTGCTAGGTCAATACACGTCATACTGGCAGATGATGTCTCCTTCTGGTCATAAGTTTGGAGATGAAGTTTGGGTCGTTATCCAGGTCTTGAAAGTTTTCTTGCACCCCATTTAATTATTATCTTGTTAGCAAACTATCTTCGTGCATGTTAACTGTATGCAATTTTTTCAACACAGGTTGATGATAAACCATTAGTAGCTTCTTCTAGTGCTGCCCCTGCTTTTCTCAACCTGAACTTGCCCCCTGAAATTAGTTACCCGAACGATGAAGTCATGTATACTGATCCCTTGGATTTCATCGCTGCTGAATCAGAAGAAAATGCGTTGTTAGAGGAACTATTAAAACCTGTGGGTCATGATATGTTGAAGAAGGATGGTGACTCATTTCTGAAACCCTCTGGTGCTTCTTCTTTCATTGATTCCCCAGTATTGCACATTGAGGTCCCTATATCCTCTTCTCCAGTTCAAAATCCTTCCATTGATGTCCAAGAATCCTTGCCCCAAGTTCTGAATCCTGTGAATCCTTACATGCCAAATTCAGATAATACGTCGGCCTCAAGTGACATTCTAGCTTCATCTTTAATAGTTTCCTCTGCATCGCTCATTGAGGACCCAAAATCCTCTTCTCCTGTTTCAAACTCTGCCATGGATATCCCAGATCCTTTACCCCCAGTTTCATATCCTCTCATTGATATTTACTATCCATCAAACCCTCCTCCAAATTCCAATCCCCCTCCTTCGGATGTTCTCACTGAACAGAACACTGTAGAGCAAAGCTTGCTGAGAGAGCTTGAAGAGATGGGCTTCAAGCAGATTGACCTGAACAAAGAAATCCTCAGGCAGAATCATTATGATCTGGAGCAATCAGTGGAGCATCTCTGTAGCTTTGATGAATGGGATCCTCTTCTCAAAGAGCTGCAGGAAATGGTAATTATTTTTGAGCCTGTTCTAGTTAAATTAGATGGGTGGCTGATGTTAGTAATATTATATTGCAGGGTTTTAATAACAGAGAGCTGAACAGGAAGCTGTTGTCAAAGAATGGTGGAAGCATTAAGCGAGTTGTAATGGAGCTTATTACTGGAGAGAAGGGTGAATAGTTTCAGTATAAATATTAATATGTGGTGGGTACAAGATACTGTTTTTATTATCTGTTTATCCAGCTTTGATGTGTAATTTAACTTGAAATTGCACCCTTTACATGTATTTAAGTACTTGTTACAACTCTTGCTACGATCTGGTATTGTGTAAATATACGCAGTAGCTGCATTCAAAATACTGCATATCACTCGGTGTGCTTATCTATAATCAAAGTTTTGAAGGCAAATAAAACTTTAGATGAGATGCAACAGATTTTACCCTTAATTTTTAAGGACATTTTGATGTGAAGTTTGTGTTTTTGCATAGGCGCAAGCCTCAGTGATTAATTATCCATTCTATTAACGAGAGCATTTTTTTTATTAATGTCTGTCATTAATACACTGGTGGTGGCAATTTAGGGGTTTTATATTGTGAAATTTGATTGTATTTTAGATTTTAGAAATTTATTACTATAAGCTTTAAAACATATTGTTGAGGGAATGATTGATGAAGTCAATTAAATTAATATCTGATGTCGTCATGGTCTCTATCAGCAACTGTGGGTTGTTCTGTCAATGGGAATCTTATAAACATAGTCATAGAAGAGAATTTTGTAAACTTAGAGGTGAAGTTTATATAAGGGGATTAATTTGAGATAATTTTAGCTAATAGTGGACTTTATGTTGTATCGAATGTATCCTATATTTCATATCTCAAAGAATACAGTCATTGGAGAAAATATATGCTTCGATCGTTGGCGTACTTCAACGGTGTCATACGACGGCAACTACCCTGCAGAGGGTTCAGGACAAATGCTTTTTTGGGTGAAGGCTGGCAGAGCCACCCTAACATAGAACATGGGCTATCCGTGCTAGTGTATGTTGATTTGAGAGAGAATTTAGTAGTATATATGATGTGATGTTGGCCTTATGTGAGGTTAGGTTAATCATAAATTTGTCACCCTTGAGAAACTAGTGCCGAGTTTGACGAGTTTTACTTTTAAATTTTATAGTAATTTTATTTCTAATATTTAGTAATTTGTGAGTTTTCTAGATTTTATAGATCTGTATCAACTTTGCTTCTTGTTTTCAGGGTATCAGGTTTTGGAATTAACACATATTTACAGAATCCTGTCAACCTTGACAATTCCGTCATATTTACATTGGGTCAGATTTAGAAATTGCAATAGTTGAATTTATTTAGATATTTTATTGGAAGCTTAATTTTGAGAATAGGCCCCCTTATTTAAATTTTTTTGTTAACTTACTATCATTAGTGATTTAATCATTTTATTTGAACATTATCTACTTTGTCCCGCTTACAAAGGAAAGGATCGGGTACAAACTTCATAATTTCAGGTGAATATAGAGATAAAATATCTCTCATTTCATATATAAGACTACGATTCAATTACTAGTCATTCTTGTCAATTTTAATTCTCATATGGAGAAGGATCAAACTAACTAAGAAGCATCCGATTTAGTTAACTCCAGTCCTTAGTAGAATGATCGAATTTGGCTCGCGGGACTTTGAACTTTGTCCTATTAGCAAGAAGACCTGCTTAAGAGCTTGCATAATTTGATATTCATACCTAAATTTAAAAAGAGAATTTTTGTATATTTTGTATATTTTCACGTGTTTCAGACCATATGCAAAACATTTGTGAAGAATTTAGTACGCTATGCAAAATAAAATATTTTAATATTAGAGGCAAGGGATCTCTGGTCCGGTTGGGTTGACTATTTTTACGACTAGGTAAACTTGAAATTTCAATAGCTTGGGAAGACAGATCCATGGTATCCTAACTCGGGTATCTCTTCCCGATTAGGATTCCTCAACCTTCATTTATTTACCCATTTTGAGCCCTGTCACTCCTTTGACACCTTGTTGAAGTCGTCTCTTAGACCCCGATTGTGGACAGTCTGCCACCCATTTGGTATACGATGATTCACCCTCCACCCTTATGGCTTGTTTAGACATGAAAACACAGAGTGGACCTTGCGTGACGACCTAATTATTTCATATGCTCTGGTCGCTGATGATTCATTGTCCATTTGGGATCGTGAGGAACTCATTCTATGCTGTCATGAGCTTAGAAGGCATTAGGACGCTCTTGTGAGATAACCATAATTTAACACACCCTTTACTAGTCATCACTTGAATGTAAGTAGAATTTCTTTAATTGAGAGTATTCTTGGGCATCCCACAAGATATAATTAACTAAAGGGATACGTCCCTTTGGATGTTTCTCTTGACCCCTGAACAAAAATATCCTTTTTGGTTTTCTGGTTATGTGTTATTTATATAGGGATTCTCTTTGTGGATGATGAGTTTCAATGTGTTTTGATCCACTTTTATTCTGGACATACATGCTTGACGCATCACATGAAGTTTATCCTACATAAGTTTTCCATATTCTCTTCTAAAATTGTTTACCTAGTTTTTGTCTTACATTTCTCAATTTATGATCCCTGCTCTTCTCTGAATTGTTCCGAAGATTCAAGTAAGAGGGCTCTTTAGGAAGGGAATCCTAAGACGATGATTAAGTTGGCTTGCAACTCCACATTTACAAAAATAACCGAAACAAGATTGGCGACTTTACTGGGGAAGAGACTCTCTCTTCATTTTAGGAGTCCTACTTACATTTGTGTGACCTAGTTCCTTCTCCGAGTGTCACTTTTTGTTGTCTTTTTAGAACTTGAATTTCAAATCTACGTGTCAGTTCTTATGGTTGGCAACTCGACACTTGTATCCCATCTTCTATCCTCAGCATCTTAGTCGTTGCGCCTTCATAAGCACCAATATTTTTGCATATTTCTGATTGTAATTATAAACCCTTTCGTAAGTTTGATCAATGTTCCTATTTTGACCGACAAAAAATGGACGGTGAAAAGGTAATCATGATTGCTACTGTCAGGGAGAACACTATTTTCTACTCCACTAACATTTTATCTACTCCTGCGGACAATATAACCTTTGGTTCATTTGAGCCTTTTTTAGATTACCCACGATAATCCCACGCCCGCTGAGGTGTCAACTCTATGCCCTCCTTTCAAAAAAGAGGAGCCATGTACATACATAGAGGAGGAATATGCAGAGTTTCTCATGGTTGAGACCCGAGCCTCTTCATCATTGCACGATACTCCATTACCAGCCGAGGAGAACGCCTCTGATGAGTTACAGAGGGTCATTCAACTGCGAGATGAGCATATAAATCAAATAGAGAAGAAGCTGGAGGAGATGAGGACTGTTGTGGCCGCACTTCAAAGTCAAACTCGGTCTCCAAAGGCCGCTTCTCCAGAAGTAAATCAGCCAGAAGTTGTTAACATTTCAGATTGGAAGAAAAAGTTCACCTCCTCCAGTAAGGACAAACAACCAAGAAGGAATTCAACATAGAGTATAACACTGGAAATAGACATAAGGCATATGGTGGAACAACAGGTAAAGGAAGCCCTGACCCAATCAAAGGGAGGGGAATTGGTTTCGAAGGGTAGACCTTATCCGAAGGAGTTCAATGTTGTACCTTACCCCTAAGGATCCATACCACCAACTTGCAACAACTTTGACGGGACAAAGAACCCCCGACAACATGCGACACACTTTCACGCAAGTTGCTACAATGCAAGGGTAATGTAACACTTTTGTTTTGACAGTTTGTGAGCAGCGTTTCAGGGACTACCTTTGATTGGTATGCATATTTGCCGAATGGATCGATAAAGTCCTTCGCAAGTAGAACTTGTTAGTTAAATGGTTTGCTGGAGCTAAGCACCATATCACTGTCGTTGATCTTGTGGTCGAGTCACAGAAAATGAATCAGACGTTGGTAGATTATATTCTGCATTGGAAGAACCTTAACAAGAAGAGTGAACCTTAGCTGCAGGAGCAGCATGCGATTAAGATCTTACTCAAAAGCATTCATGATCCAATAGTTTTCCTTCTTAAGGGGTTTACTATCAAGACTTTCGAGAAGCTACTTAACAAAGCTACAAGCCTACAAAAAGATGCCAAACAGCTTGAATTCCTGCAGAAGGCTGACCCGACCCGCAATTATGCAGATATTTATGTTCCTTAATATGTCAAAAACTTTGACCTAAATTATATTTAGCGGCTAGTGAGAACAAATGTAATATGATAAAATTGAAAGAAATAGTTTTCTCACTAGTGGTATTACACAAGTATATGTATCGTTTTAAGTAATATAAAATTTTCTTTAAGAACCCCAGTATCGATCCCACGGGAAAAACACTAACGAAAAATAATGAAAACGAAATATAGGAATTTTAACTTTAAGAAAACTTACTTAAAAAATAATGAAAATGAAATATAGGAATTTTAACTTTAAGAAAACTTACTTAAGACTGCAACAACTATCTAAAGATGAAAATTAAGTTTACTAATTTCTACTAAATGCTAGTAAAAGTAAATGAAATGGTTTTAGAAAATATATAAAAAGAGATTTTCTCCTTGCCAATAATTCATAATCGGTGTAGGATTTCAAAATTTGTTTAGAAGCTTAAATGTGATATTGTGACAAATAGGAGCATACTTATTCTTACTTCTTTCAATTGTGTAAAGAACATTGACTATTCTAAAGTTGGTGTCGGCATGTATAGTAGTGTTGGGTAGGTTATAGTCTCTCACTCCTAGAGTGCCCATTGTGCCCTCTTTATAGGACCTATCAGTGACCTTTAGTTTTTCTAGACAAATTGATAAAAAAACTAGCCTAGGAACATCAATTCTACGCCCATCAAATCTTTTCTCCCTATTTATTTGCACCCCCCTTCGGAAAATCGGCGTTGCTCTTTCAAAAGTGAAATGTGTTACTTACAAGTTTAGAAATCTTAGCCCTCTCAGATTTATAAGTTTCCTCAACAAATTTTAATAATAGAAGTGACCAATATGTAAAGTAAATGAAGATTCAGTAAAAATATCATCACAATTTTTAGGATTAAAAAGTGTTCTAAAAAAATCAAAATCACTTATTTAATTACTTCATGTTGCAAGGAGAAAGAGAGAAAACTACTCAAAATTCATGGAGATAACAAAACAAATCATATTTATAAAACTCAAATCCAAAGTACAAAACTCAAAGACAAACATACAAATACTTATATTGAATGATTCCCCAATCACTCCTTTGAAGTTCTTTGACTTCTTTGACTCCAACAACTCTTACAAGACTCACAAACTCCAGAA